GTTACCCAGGGAATTGGAGAAGGAGACCATGGAGATAAAAGGGACCCTAAAGGGGATGCGGTCCTATGGCTTCATTTTATGTTGAAGTACCACATACATACAGAAAATTGTTGAAATTATTAAGTGTACACACCGTGAGTTTTCAAAGTGAGCACACTCACGTAACCAGTACCCAGATCATGAAAAAGAACATTACCAGTCCAGTAGCCTCCGTCACGCCTTCCCACCCACCCTGCCCGGTTCTAGTCACAACCCCTCTCAAGGCTCATCATTATCCTGACTTCTAACATCAGAGATTAGTTTTGCCTATTTTTGAACTTTCTATGAATAGACTGGTAGAGTATATTCTCTACTTGCGTCTAATTTTTTCCCCTCAATATTGTGAGCTACATTTCTGTTGCTCCTTGTAAATTGTTAATTCTCCTTGTTGTGTAATGTTCCACTGTGTGACTATCACAATTCAGTTACGGATTCAACTCTTAATAGGCATTTGAAAGGTACTGCCATGAACTTTCTAGAGGATGTATCAGAGTGCACAAATGTACTCATTCCTCTTGGGTATAATCTAGATTAGAATTAGAATATAGAATATAGAATAGATTAGAATTGCTGATCATCATCAGGTATGTGGGATGTTCAGCTTTAGTAGGTACTGCCTTCACTTTCCTGACGCTGGAAATGGAAGGACAGAAAGGGTGGCAATTGGTCCAGGGTCACCCAGCTACTGAGCCAGGGCGGGAATACGGGTCTGTTCTCTCCTAGGGCAGTATGTCTAGGTCCAGACTTCAAGGAGAGACTGACCTAGAGAATCAGCAGAGTCTCACAGCAACACACATTTCATTTATGAGCTGTCCTTATCATCAACCCTCGGGTAAGATGAGACCAGTGACGAAGCATGAGAGGGGCAGCTCCTCAGTGGGGCCATGATTATAAATACCGATTTGCTTCGGAGGGAGCTGGTACAGGTTCTTCTATGTGTCCTATCAAAGAACAGCATGAGATGCGTGTCCTTGATTAAGCAGGATTTAAATTCAGTCTACTTCAGTGCCAGACCTTGTGTGCGATGCTTTTCCGTGCATTAACTCATTTAATCTTCCGAGCGAAAACTAGATTAATTCATATCCATAAGGACCACAGAGGCAAAATATTAAAAGAGAGCATATGAACTCTAAAAATGGAGCGTTTAGAACAGTGCTTTCCAAAGGATCTGTGGTGAAGGACCAATCCACCCTAGACCAGTTTGTTTGGCAAATGCAATAAAAAAGAAATACCAGAAAAGTACAATGAAAAGGTAGTTCAAATACAAGCTTCCAGTTTTTATTATTATATTAAACTAATATAAAATTGCATTGCTAAAGTTCTATTAAAATGTCTAAACGCTTTCAATTTCTGTATTTATGTCATTGGGACTCAATAGCAGTTTGTGGATTAGTACTGGTTTTCAGAATACACTTTGAAGGGCACTGATTTATTTATTTGTTTATTTATTTAGCTAGTTAGTTATTTTTTAAAGTCTGGACTTTTTTTATTTTTTGTGATTCTTTTTTAATATAATTTATTGGCAAATTGGCTAACATGCAGTGTGTACAGTATTACCTTCGTTTTTGGAGTGGATTCCCATGGTTCATTGCTTACATACAACACCCAGCCCTCATCCCAACAAGGAGGGGTACTGATTTATAATTCACTGTTAATTTCCCAATGGGAATCGCTCTTAAAAGAGAGATTGATAATTTTCTTAGAGGCAGATAGGTTTGAAAACAACATCGGCAAAATATTGAGACCCTGGAAACCATTCACACCCATACAGGTTACTGTTTATATTAATGGGACTTCACCATTTCACTGTCTTTATCAACATAACTATTCCAAAAATATATTTCATAGAAAGACACTAGTTACAAATAACTTTATTGTGCTTTTTAAGAACTTTTCCCCAAACCTTACTGAACTGAATGTAAAACCCTTAAGCTTTTCAATAGCATTGAAAAGACTATTGACTCTCCAAGACTCTTTTTTTTAAAAGTGTATTTATTATTTGAGAGAGACAGAGAAAAGGAGGGGCAGAGAGAGAGGGAGAGAGAGAATCCCAAGCAGGCTCTGCACTGTCAGCTTGGAGCCCAACGTGGGGGGCTTGATGAAGGGCTGGACTTCACAAACAGCGAGATACTGACCTGAGCCAAAATCAAGAGTAGGTCGCTTAACCGACTGAGCCACCCAGGTGCCCCACTCCAAGACTCTTTAGAAGACTTGCCTTTTATCCACCACTCTGAAACTAGTATGATCCCTAGCCAAAATTAAACGAGCACCATCTCATTGAAAGACTTGTCTTAAACCAGATTCCCAAACCTTATAAATATCCCCCACTTTGTCCTCCCCAGTCCAAGATGCTACAAGACTCTGCCACGGCAGGCCTCTCCTTACCGTGGTGTACAATAAATTCAATCTTTGTCTTCTATACAGCTTGTTTTGCTGGTATTTTCTGGGAGCCAGCTTTCAACAATCAAGACTTTGTTCTTCTTTTTAGTCTTGCTCAAGCTGCTTTCAAAGTTGGTATGCAAAAAAAGGCCAGAAAGACTCGTGTATTCAAAAGCATGCATGAGCAAAATTTAAGAGGTTTCCGTGTATAATTTTGATCATGCCATAGGACCTGAGCCCAGCGCTTGGTGAGGAAAAGACAGCCGCAGGATGTGAGGGCTGGAAGGGGTTCTAGGTGCCCAAATATCAGTGCACAGATCAGCCCCATCAAGTCACCTGATGTAATCCCTACTTAAAATACCTATTCCTTAGGGTGCCTGGGTGGCTCTGTTGGTCAAGCATCCGACTCTTGGTTTCTGCTCAGGTCATGATCCCACAGTTTATGGATGTGCTGCAGCATGGAGCCTACATGGGATTCACTCTCTCTCTCTCTCTCTCTCTCTCTCTGCCCCTCCCCTGCTCATGCTTCTGCTCTCTCTCTTTCTCTCAAAATAAATAAATAAACTCTAAAAAAAGACCTATTCCTTGGTTTCCCCTCAGATGTACTGAATCAGAAATTCTAGAGATGGGGCTAGTCAGTGTTTATTACAAACTCCCCAAAGGATTGTGTTGCACAATCAGCTTTGGGAACCACAATTCTGTTCTACCGTTTCTTTTTGTAGATGAAGAAATGGAGACTCAGATAAGGGAGTAAAGTTGCCCACAATCACATAGCTATTGAGCTGTGTGTCTCATGATTCCCTGACAAGAGTTCCCAGGGCTGGAGATCAGATTGGAGATGTTTTTATCCACCCAATATCCTGAACAAGAATTAGTAATGATGTGAAACTGAATCTACTTTTGTCTTCTCCACATCTTAAGATTTATCAGGGTGGTGGTTGGCATTGGGAGGGTGTTGTAATCTTTCCCTGTTCCCGGGTGAAAATTTTAGCAGTCACCATGACTTCTCTGCATTTTGTTAGGTAAGAGGCATCAGCAAAAGTATAGTTTTCCAAGAGGTAAAATTTTGGCTCTTACACAGTGATAAAATGAACACATAACTCTGCTGAGAATCTATTGGCCATCTTGTTTGTTAAATTTCTGTTCCCAGGAATGATTGCTTATCAGTTTGCTGATTAGCTCATGTGAAGGCGGATATGTTATTTAAAGCTTTAGGAACATGTCCTAGGGAGGAAGCATGGGCTGGCCCTCTGGGGAACTACAGTGGGCACTGGGAAGAGATTCAAGGTCCAGGTAACTGCTCCCCATGGGTTTTCATTAGGCCACATTAGACTTCTTGAAACCACTTCTTTGCTCTCTTGGCTTTTTCTCTACTGATCCGCCAGCATGTGGCTAAAAATGGACACGTTTTTAGTATGGTGTCTTCATGATCATCTCTAAGTGCTCAACTTCTGACAACAGTCTCTAGCTTAGTTCAGATCCTTAACTGAGACTATCTGATTGGCTGCTCTCCAAACATTCGCGCTCTTTGGGTCAGGTGATCAGCCAGGGTCAACCAGCTGCAGCTACTTGGAGAAACACAGTTACCAAAGGACTGTGTGAGGGGGGTTTTAAGAGACAGCCAGGAGAGTCCCAATGAAAACCTCGGGTGGGCGAGCACAATAAAATGTGTCTTTTCATCATTTCCAGCAAGAGTCCTTGAAACACTGAGGCTTATGCCACTCCCCTGTTATCCCAAAGGAGTCTGGTTGCCATCGTGTTGCATTCAATTAAGGCAGGAAAAGTTTGGGGGAGGGGGCTGTTTCACAGGAGCCCATGGTCAGACCTTCCCATTCGTGTGTCCACCAACATTTGGGATCCTCCTTTGTACAAGCCTTTGAGCTGCTTAGATGCGGGTGTCTGGTAAAAAATAAGAAGCCTCAGCCCTGCTGCGCTCATGAACTTGGAACTTTTCCGTCTGGAGAGGAGGTTGACAGCCATAGATCAGGGCAGGAACATGGATATACCTAAACACATTTTGGTTCACTCTCTCTTCCCGGAGCTGACTCACTCTTTCGTGGACACAAGACATGGGCCTAATAACCGTACAGGTAGAAATTCAGGAGGAGTGGAAGCTCCTCACCCAACAGCCCAGCGAAGACACTGGGGGGACAGAGTAGCCGGTCGCTTTGCGTTACAAATCACTGAGCCCCGGATTCGTACCAGGATCTGTAAGGGGTGCAAAGGCCAGGGGCAATGTGTCCTCTAGGTTCGAGCGCTCCCAGGCTGGAAGGACACACACACACACACAGACAAGGCCAGCCGTCCCGCAAGGGGCAGATTTGGGGCGCCCTCCCTTCTCTGGGCAGCCAAGGGGCGCGGACACAGGCCCAAACGGCAAGGGCCCGAGCGCGCAGCTCCTTCCAGGGCGGAGGGCGGCGCGAGGGAGGGAGAGAGGGAAGGGAAAGGCGAGCGTGAGCTGCCTCAAATGCTTGGAATAATTCCGCTTCCGTTTGGAAAGCCGCAGCCTCAGTCCCGCCGCGCCCGCCCAGCGCCAGCTCCGCGTCCCGGCCGGCCCGCGCGCGGCTGCCCGCTCCGCCGCCATGGCTACGTCCCCGCAGAAGTCGCCCTCCGTCCCCAAGTCCCCCACTCCCAAGTCGCCCCCGTCCCGGAAGAAAGATGACTCCTTCTTGGGGAAACTCGGAGGGACGCTGGCCCGGAGGAAGAAAGCCAAGGAGGGTGAGTGCGGCCGGGCCTGGCGCGCTGCAGGGCCCGGGCCGAGGGGCCGGGACTCCGGGGCCGGGCGGGAGCGCGCCGCGGGTGCCCGGCGCGGTGGGGGCGCGCGGCGGCGCGGGAGCGCGCTGCCCGAAATGCGGGCCGGGGCCGAGCGCGCCCCGCGGGTCGTCGCCGCTGTCCCGCTCCGGGTGTCTAGGGCTCGGTGGTGCCCGGGTAGGGCGTCCCCGGGACCCGGCGACGCCCGCGCTGGGCCGGGGGCGGGCGCCGCGTGGCCCGAGGGGGCGGCCGGGCCCCCAGCCGGAGGCGGCGTCCTCCCGCAGGCCCGCGCCCGTCGTTCCCCAAGTTCCTGCGGAAACTTTCCTGGGCGCCGCGCTCGCGCTCGTTGCCCTCGTTGGCCTTTCAAAGCAGCTGGGTTCCTGGACCCACGGAACTCTAGAAGCAGCATCGGCCTCCGGAGCCTGTGTCCGCCCCCAGAGACCAGCAGGGCGCTCTTAGTGATCGGCATCCTATGTTTGTGGAATGAATGAGTGGAAAAGCTGGCTTTCCTAGCGGTCGGGCCCTGTAATAAATGAGGAACTCGCAGTCAAGGAGAAAACTCGGATTAGACACACTTAAGCATCACGCGCTGTGACCCTTCTGTGAACTCAGGAGTTGAGGGCTCTTGTAAAAAAAACATTTTCTTTTTCCCCACCAGCGTGGATTGAGGTGATCTTCCCCCACCCGGGACAATTTGCATGTAAAATATTTTGTGTCATTGGCAGATTTCACCTCTCGGATTTTGGTCTGAAAAATGAGGTGACAGTTCTGAAGAAGTTCTGGTGATAGATGTGTCGATAGAAGTTGCTTGTTGAAAGTTTTTCATGGACTGCTTAGCGGTTTGGGAAATAATCCTTTTGAGGGCTGTGATGCTGAGATGTAAAATAAGGTCTGTGTTTCTGAAGTGTCTGAAAGGGTAAAAAAAAAAAAAGAACGTCAGTGCTGAGAATTCTCACACTTAAAGAACTAAGCTGCTGTTTTCTACGTTGGAGTGAGCAAACATGGTTTTCCCCCAATTTGGTTATTTTGGTAAACGACGGTCTGAGTAGTATATAGCCGGTAGCAGATCATGACATCTTGGCTTGGAAAGCCCTAAACTACCCTTCTAGGCTTTTCCTACTGTATTCCTGGTATGGGCTGCTTTGCCAAGACTAAACAACTCAGAATTTCTGAAGCCTGTGGCCTACTGAGAGTGCTCACCCCACCTTTGCCCGCTCTTTAGAAAAGTTTATGGTAAAAATACAGAGTTGGTCTCTCTGTATCTAGTACTGTTCATGGAGCCAGGAGAATGAGTCTGATAGTAGCCCTTCACTTCTTTCAAGTGGATTAGCCTGTCTTCTGGAGCCTTCCCTTCACCAGCACAAACATCCTCTGTTCCTCTAGTTGGTCCTCCTAGGCACGATTTTTTTTTTTTTTTTTTTGGCCTGCTGGCCTCCTACCCCTTCAGTTTCATTTGGGAGCCCTGCTGGAAACAGAAGGTCAACTCAATCGGGATTTTGAAAATACTGCAGTGAAGGGACTACTTTCGCAGGTGAGGGCAGGGGTAAGGGAACCCAGAAAGGACGATAAGGAACTTGGGAGCTAGCAACCGACAGGTGGAAGCTGTTACCACCTCTAGACCTGAAGGGACAGGGGGAGCAAGCCGGAACCCACAGAGAGCTGGAACTGCAGAAGGGGGTGCCGTCTGACACTGGACAGAAACACAGCCACTGTCAGGAATGTGGAGACGGAGCAGGGAGACGTTGGCACAAGAGATACTCTGTGCGTTCTCTCTTCTTGCCCCTGACTCCCTTGCTGGTGCTCCTGATTGGCTGCACCCGGTGGGACGTCACCAGGCAAGGAATCTGGACAATGCAACGTGTAGGGGTCAGCTTCCTCGGGGCACAGAGCGGTGCAGAGATCATAGTGGGGAGTGGGGAAAATGAAAATCACTAGCAGACCCTCTCAAAGTGAGCTGCCCAGAAGTCCATGTAGTAGTGTGGTAGTCTGGTCCAGGTTAGAACAGGGCTGTCCCCTCCTTTGTTATGGTACAGACGCCAGGTTCCAGCAGTGCAGCGAAGGCTGTTCTTCCTTATTCTCTCAGCTACATCACACTGTTCTCTCTCACTGAGTTTCCTATCGGCTTACTCAAAGACTTTTTTTTTTTAATTTTTTTTTTCAACGTTTATTTATTTTTGGGACAGAGAGAGACAGAGCATGAACGGGGGAGGGGCAGAGAGAGAGGGAGACACAGAATTGGAAACAGGCTCCAGGCTCTGAGCCATCAGCCCAGAGCCCGACGCGGGGCTCGAACTCACGGACCGCGAGATCGTGACCTGGCTGAAGTCGGACGCTTAACTGACTGCGCCACCCAGGCGCCCCTAAAGACTTTTTTTTTTAATGTGTCTTATTATTTATTTTCGAGAGCGAGAGAGTAAGCGGGGGAGGGGCAGAGAGAGAGAGGGAGACACAGAATCCGAAGCAGGCTCCAGGCTCCGAGCTGTCGGCGCAGAGCCCGATGCGGGGCTCAAACTCATGAGCCTTGAGATCATAACCTGGGGCTCAGACTCATGAACCTTGAGATCATAACCTGAGCAGAAGTTGGACGCTCAACCGACTGAACCACTTAGGCGCACCCTTACTCAAAGACATTGTTACGTTTCTTGCTCCTGAACCACCCCCTTTCTTATCTCAGATAGCCTCAGTTGGGTTTTTGAAACCAGGTGCAAGATCTTATTTGTGTCTTTGGCTATACTTAACTGTTAAGTCCTGGTTCTGTGACTCAGCCTATTAACTAATCCAGGGGATGTAAATGGTGAGTTGAAGAGCACACACTTCTTGTTAAGGGGCCCACCACCCAGCCCCAGCTGCTTGCCACCACAGGTGGTAGTTCTGTGAGCTCAAAGAAGGCAGTGGGGTTGGTCTGAAATGACCTGCTCTTGGTGTGTGCGTGCTGGGTCTCAGTGATCATTGCTGTACCTGTTAAGGGCCCGCTAACCCTCACTTCGATACTGGTAAGGTTAGATCTTGCTCTGGATCTTGCATAAACCTTCAGCTCTGTGCTTTGCAGAAACTGCTTTCTTCTATTTCCACCCTCCTAATTTTCTACAATATGATTCCTCAAGTTCACTGATATCAGTCTATCTACATATTATCTCGGTGCTTGAGCACTGAATTCTCCTGGGCCCAAGGACTGCCATTCATTCACTTGACACCTGTTGTCCCACTGTAGGACACAAAGATTGGAAAGACATAATACATGTTAGATTATTGAGTCAATAAGTTCATATGAAAATATGCTTTCCTAAGAACGCCTACTGCATACATCAAAGAATGACTGTAAATCTCAGAAGAATACATTAAAACTAGTCATCACTCCTGTGTCTTCAGTAAGAAAAAAATAACATCAGAAAGAGAAAATAGAGGTTAAAACCATGATTTTGGGGACCAGACACCTTTGGGTTTGATTTCTGGCCCAGCCCCTTATTTATTGCTATGACTTAGGACAACTTCCTTATCTCTCCAAGTGTCTGCTTTTCTTTACAAAATGGAGATATAGTATGTAACATGCATAGCATGGTATGAATAATGAATGGCAGCTATTAAAATCGATAATTCAATTTGACATAGTCTTTAATTTGAGATAGTCTTTTCGTTATGGACTGCAGAAGATTCTATGGGTTTTGCAGATGGCCAAGGAGCTCATGGCACTATGAAGCCCTTATAATCCTGCTTTGGTCCCTTTGGAAATTAGGGATCTTTCCTTGCACGTCCACTATTCTCGATTCCAAAATGTCACATTTCAGCATCTTAGAATATCTGGGCCCATTTTCATGAGTTGTAGTTAACTGGCTTTGTTTTTCACTGTGGATCTTCTCTTTTGAGGTTCTGGTCCTCATTTATGCTATACACAGCCCTCTGGTGTAGGTCCTTAGACTAGCCTTTCAGAGTCCTTTGCCAAAGAGCCCCTTTTTTCCTCCAGATCTGTCCTCAAGACTTGTTCTTTCCAGGGACACCATCTTGAATTGTATTGGCCAGCTGAAGGTGCCCTGAATTGGGTCAGCAGCAATGATTATTCCTATCATTTACCCATTTTTTTTTATTATCCCTTAGAGTTTAGCATTTTGTCCAGTGCCCAAAGTGTCCAATAAGGGCTTTAATCTGATAACTTTATAATAATTCTAGGGCTTACACCTTTGGTTATCATTGGCCTTCCAGTGTAACTGGGGAAAATCCCAAAAGTCTGCAACAGATTTATGGAATGGGGGGGGGGGAACCCCCAGCCCTGCTGAGCAGTCCTCTTCTTCTCCCCTAAGCAGCATGCATTCTTATTTTCTAAAGTGCCTCCTCAAACCCTCACCACTCAAGCTCGAACTCAGACCTTGAGATAGAAAACTGTGTACCAGGTATGAACTTGTTCAATTTCCCTTCTTTGCCCCAGATCTACACCTTCTTTCATGCTCCTTTCCTGCCCCAGTCCCTTCAGAGAGATCCCTTGTCCCCTTGTTTGTGAGGACCATCCATTTCTGCTTCCCCCAGACTTGGCATAGCTAAATACCCTTGCCCTTGTATCTTCAATCTCTTTCATAGCTACTCTACCCCTTAACATGCTGTAAATACACTTGAGCCTTTCCCATTTAAAGAAAGTCTCCTGATGATGATTTCCTCTTAAGCTACTCAACCAGAGGTCTTGAAAGACTTGCCTGTACTGACTTTCTCTTATTTCCTAGTCACTTCATGATCCACTATCCTCACTCTTTCAGTAATCATTTACTGAGTGCATACCGTGTGCTAGGCACTATGCTAGGCACTGGGGTGTCGTGGGGGGAGAAAACAGACAAAAATCCCTGCCTTCATGGAGCTTACATTCTAGCATTGGAGACTGATAATAAACAAGATAAATTGGTAAATTATGTGTATTGTATTAGAATAGTTATAGGGGCTTTAGAGCAAAATAAAGCAGGAAACAACATAGGGTGTTGAGGGAT